ATGTTAACGAGAGATTTTTACAAGAATGAGTTTCAGCTTTGATGATGTCCATCATATGATAGGGAAAAGCTCAGTCCATTTTCGTCAGAAACGAGGGAGGAGGTCTCGTGGAATGCGTCAACCTGAACGTTGTATTAAATCCAAATGACTCTAGCACAACGGGAATCAGTCGTCCTCTTTTTGGTGAGGTCAACCTCCGAATCTCTTCTTAACGCATTTTCATACGAAATGTAAATCTCTCCAACAATAAATGGTGCTACACACAAAGTTCATCCTTTTACCACCGTAACCATAAGAGTAGTTTTTGTGGGCTCTGCCAACTTAAGCGTCATAGTACGATCATATGAATACTGACAAACGGAAACCCGCCTTAGCCTTCTGGTGAGCTTTACTCTCTTTCACACACCAAAACAAGGCTATGTTAGGAGAGTTACAGTGTATTTACACAAAAAGCGTCTTGCAAAGTTTTTTAAGTCAAATAAACAAACTTTCGACTAATTCCCTAAGGAAGATCGTGATATTTATTACGACACACAATTTATTCCTTTTTAATACATCTCCAGATCCTCAATGCTTGTCTTACTCTATTTTTGTTATCCGTTTTTTCCCTCTTTGTTCTATTCTTGCCAGGATTCTATGCACGAACCTCCCTTTCTCTCTTTCCTATTTCTTAACTTACCTATGGTCCTCTTTTTTCTCCAGCCTTCTTTCATCCTCCCTCTCCACCTTGTTATCCATTCTCTCCGACTCCTGGACAAAACACAACCACAAGAGTCAAAACAACCAAACAAATAGAGACAGTTGGGTACACATAAAAAGGGTTAACAAACAAGACAATCAGGCAACTGACACGAGGATAAAAGCAAATAATTAAGTAATCATGTATCAATGCCAGGATGTAATTACGACCAACGCTCACACTATGCATTAGGCAAAAAGTCACATCTCTTGCGTACAGATGGATCAGTAGGGCGTAAAATCCACTTCACGACGTCTTGGCTGTGCATTGTTACGTCTACGAGTCGAATAATTGACCTTTGTTTAGATCCGTAATATAAACTTTTTAGTGTACTTATAGCTTTTTCCGGGTCATATAATGCTTTTTTCATCCACCTACAATCACTTGTAGCTTAAAACTCGCAGACTTTACGTTGGTGTATAGTCTTTGCACACATTGCGTGCGTCCATTTTGACTTTTTTCATGCTTTGTGTTGCTTCTTAGACCCTTTTCACTATTTTCTTCGCCAGGCAACTGTGCGATAGAGATTGCACTATTTGTGTTAACCTTCAGCCTGATTCGTGCCCCCCAAAGCCTAACCTGCCTCTCGGCCCAATGAACCAATCACATTTTCCTTGTACATTACAAGCTGGTCTTAGATCGATTCGACAGAACCTCATGTACATTCTGAAAGTGTACGACTGGCGTGGCATCATCGCCACTCGGCGGGTTCTCAATCGGAACATCTTCTTTCTGACAGCTTCGAGACAGCCTTCTCCACTCGTCTGCGAGGATGCGCTGCTCCCAGCAGTTGCAAACATGATACAGAGCCCATTTTACGCACTATTCCGACCCTAATGGACCGCGTCGGAAGTCCGGAAGCGTCATCTGCGTGAGACCAATCACATGGTTGAGGTCGACTACAGGTGTCTTCTAGCCTCACCGGCTTTCACACTTCTTGACCGTACTGCTGAGACCTACTGTCAACGTTTGGTGTTGAATAAGATCTTAGACGGTCTATACCTCCAAAGGTTGTTTAAGGGTTGATAGTTGAGTTTTCATACAATCACATGAATAAGCCTAACGCTGACACTGAATTTCACACTCAATCTTACCTCCTACATGGCCATCTCATCTTGACTGGACTGGACTGGACTACAGTTTCGGCCTTGTTCTTGGTCTCTCATCAGCACCTATAACAGGATTCGAACTCTGATCGTTAGCATCAGGGCGACGTTGCCACTCTATTAGACAACCATGGATGCCAGAGGGTCACCGGATAAGTCAGGCCCTCCTCAAATCACATTTTCAGTGAGAGTGTGGATTATGTAAACATGTGATTGCCGTTCTATTTGACATTGTTACGTATTTTTGGTATATGTAGTTTTCGGGATTCAGTTACTATTTAAGAATTATCGATTGTCCCGAAAATTATTTATACTGA